AGAATAGCAGGAGAGCGACAAACAACAACTGATATTATGCATCAAAGGAATTGCGCGCGTGTATGTGACACTTTTGACGGTAGTGACAGGTGCGGTGCGACAGTTACAAAAATGGAATAACGCCAGTCGCGCATCGCTTACAATGACAATGTCTGTTATAGCAACAATTGTAGGGTGTCACTCACTCGGAGTGTAATAGTTCAGTTTAGGCTAAGCTTGACTTATTTTGAACCCCAACACTGCTGTGAGTTTGTATTGTTTTGTGGCTGCCAGTAGGGGCATTGTTTGCCTTGTTACGCTGCGCTTATTCACTGTTGGTGCTTTATCGAAATCGAAATCTGACACTGAATTGCCGCTACAATTGCCTGCTTTTAGGCGCTTTAGGTATATCTCTATCGAATTATTGTGTGTTCTGTTAAAAAGGTTATGGCGCTTAGAATCGATTTTTATCGCTAATGTAAATATCTGTTTAGCTTTGAAATTATTCTGATTTGGCGTTACTATTTTATGAGTCTTTTGTGGAAATGGGCTCGTATTGGGATTGATCAAAATTGAACTCTTTATTAAGGATTTAAAACATTTTGTTTTGCCGTAACATAGTGCCTACCTTTAGGCGAAGCATACATTTTTAACAAAGTCTTGCACCCAATATGTGCAAATTAGTGTTTTGGGGGTTTTAAAATATTTTTTTTTGGAATTGACACAGTCAGAAATATTTTTATTTATTTTTTATTTAAATACGAATTTATTTTTTACTTCGCACATCTAACTAAATTTATATTAGCATTAGAGTTTCACAAATTCTAGGGTTTTTAAAATCTTGTAAACAAATTTTGCAATATTCTAGCAAGCGTCATGTCCTGTTTTACGAAGTAGTAGCATATTATGTCTGAAAATAGTAAAAATTGGTGCCTACTTTTCGTCGAAAAATCAATTTTAGTCAAGTTTCACACCCAAAGAAATATGTTGTGGTAAATAAAATAAATTTATTATAGTCAGAAGGGCCTTAAATCATTTTGAAAAAATTCTTTAATAGTTTTTTTTTTTTAATTTTTACATCTAGACAAGTCTATATTAGTAATAAACTTTGACCAATACCATGGATTTTTAAAAACGATTAAATAAGTGGTAAAATTTTCACCCACTAGGTATTTTGCTAATATTTTGTTTTACGAATTGGTATCATTTTATACCTGAAAATAAAAAAATTATGCCTACCTTTAGGCGAAATAGGTATATACTCTAGCAAAGTCTCCCATACAGTATGATTATAATATATAGGGAATGATATTATATGGGGAATAAACTAAATATATAAAAGAATGCATATTCTGAGGAAAAAATTCTTTTAATTCTGTGTTTTGGTCTTTCTACATGTAATTAAATCAATATAATATTCGTCTAGTAACATCAATACAATATTAAAAAAAAGGAAAAGAACTCTTATAAAATGTATCTCCCTTCTCCATTACAGTATCCCGAACTTAATCCGATGATAATGCGTCGTTTCAGTGAACCTGGCGATGTTGAACGTGCCTTCGAACTAGTCCACAAATCGCACGGACTCGAACAGACGCGCTTCTTGGCCAAGAAGCACTGCATCGAAGCGATACGATTGGCGCAGGAGCTGACCGAGTCGCCATACCAGAAGGGTCTGCAAGTGGTCGCGGATTTAGTCATTAATCGTATGAAATAATAGCTTAAGTTACGGGTGCAGGGGGCTGCTGGTGCAACACATAATAGTGCAACATAACACAAGAACAAAAGCAAAACAAAATACACAAATCAAAAAAACTCTTGCAAATGTTAAATAATTTAAATATACACACTTATATACATTTTTATAAATATACACACACATAATATATAATTTGTAATTATATAAACATAATTATAAAACGATAAACCAAGTCCAAAATTAATTATGAATAGATTTTATATGCAAATGTGCAGAAATGAAAAAAATTAAATTAAAAAAAAAGCAAAAAAGGTAAAAAACTGTAAAATACACAAATTAAGTAAATAATAAATATTGTTGTCAAAGCACAGAAGCGCGAAAAAATGAAAAAATAAAAATAAAATAAACTGTAAGCGTGTTATATAAGATAACTGTGTATATTGCAGTGATAACTGCAGACCAAACTACAGTTAACAACCAAGCGTAGCAAAAACTATGCGTTTACTGTTTTTTGTTTTGCTTATCTTGTGTAAAGCATATATATAGTTTAAACATACAGAAATATTATTTTAATAATTTTATGCATTAGTATGTAAGTCTTGTTGACATTGTAAATAATTTATGGTAATGTAAAGAGGAGATAAAAAAAATATATATACGCAGGAAATAAGTTAAACCAAACCGAAAATATTTAATGTGTATATAACTAAATACATAGCAATGTTTATATATTATATTCGAAAAAAAAACAAAACAACAAAAACAAAAACAAAAAACAGCAACTGACATACTTAAAAAGCCAGCAAATAAACAAGCAAACAAACAAAACGGGAGAAAGGTTGGTTAAAGTTAATTTAGTTTGTATAAAAAACAGCAAAAACAAAAAGAAAATAAACAATTATATATATATAAAGTAGACAAGAAATAACTGTTTATACGCATGTATATACATAACTATTGTACAAATGGGACAGTTGACGCGGTATACTTAAAAAGTATAATTATGGAAGCAAATATGACGAATGTGTTCTTCAAATACTAAAAAACCTTACAAAAGATGATTGAAGAGGAATTTTGATAAATTTTTACATCTATATATAGCGGTAAAGAACTATGTATATAGCGTATAACAAATTTTATGATTTCTAAAAGCGAAAAATCTTTCTTTGTTAGCTGTTTAGAGCACTTATTCCAAGTGAACGGTGAAATTATTGAATATTTGAGTTAAATTTTAACTAAATCAATAATTAAGCGTTTGTGCGCACTAAAAATGTTTTTTGAAAATATATACGAATACTCACAATAAA